CATGTCAGTAAATGTAACAGATATATTTTTTCATATTGCTTGACCTTTCAGCAGCATTTGAAAGTACATATCTGGAAAAAAAAAAAAAAAAATCACGAATCTCCACCCAGCATTCTGACTTCTCAGGCTTTTACATGTCTGACTACTTCTGTTTACTCTGGAATGGGACCACAGATGTATATATGTAGTCGGACATTGCCTGAACGGATGTTATGTGGCACATGACTGTATCTGTTATTTGTATGTTTAGAAAGAGATCCAGCTTCTTTACCTTTTATAAAACTTAACTAAATCGACAGATCTGACAAAGAATAGAAAATACACATTTTGTAGTAAGTATAAGCAAAATCATGAAACTTATATAACCGAAACTATCCCATGAAATCATCTTTAAACTAAATAAGTTTAGCTCAATGAATAAAGAATGTTTATCTTAAGCATTGCACTCTTTCAAAGAATTATCTATATGAAATCAAACTAGCGACAGTAACTCCAAAGCACAGATGAGAACTTTCAGAGGCAGAGAGCATAAGTTTATGGTGATAAAGCAGTATGGGTAGAGATAAGGAGAATGGTCACACACTGCGAAGAATGTAACCCATGTCACTGAACTGCACGTGTAGATATTACTGAATGGTTGTATGTTTTGTTGTGTGTATTTTTACCAAAAGGAAAAAAAAAAACCTTATATTCACAGTCGTCTCAGCCCAATCAATTTGCCCAAGTAATTCCGTAGGCTCCGAAGTTTTACAAAGCTTTAATAATACATAAAAATCAGTACTATAAGGGTGCCAAGACAATTAAATGGGGAAAGAATGGGGTTTTTTTTTTTTTTTTTTAAACAAATGGTGCTGGAACAACTGGAACCACATGCAAAAGTTGGATCCTTACCTCACACCATATATGAAAATTCACTGATAATGCATTCTAGGCCTAACTGTAAGAGCCGAGATGATTAAACTCTTAGAAGAAAACACAGGAGTAGATTTTGTGACCTTCATGGTTTCTTACTGTGGCAAAAGCACAAGGGAAAAAGAAGATAATAAATTCAACTTCATCAAAAATTTTTGTGTTGCAGATAATTGTCAAGTAAAAACACAACCCACAAAATGGAAAAAATGTCTGCAAATCATGTATCTGATAAGGGAACTGTATCCAGAATATATATAGAACTACTATGACTCAATAATAAAAAGACAAATAACCTAGTTAGAAAATGGACAAAGGATCAGAATAGATGCTTCTCCAAATAAGATACACGAATGGCTGATAAGCACATGAAAAGATGCCGAACACCATTAGTCATCAGGGAAATGCAAACCGAAACCATTATGAGGTATCATTTCATGCCCACTAGGATGACTATAATAAAAAACACAGACAAGGATGCAGAGAAACTGGAATCCTCATACATTGCTTGAGGGAATGCAAAATGGTGCAACTGCTTTGGAAAGCAGTTTGGAAAATTTTATTTTCCCTTTTTCTGATAATAGTCGTCCTAGTGGAGGCGAAGTGGTATCTCATTTACTAATCACACTGAGCACCTTTTCATGTGCTTACTGGCCATCTGTAAATCTTCTTTGGAGAAATGTCTATCCAAGTCCTTTGCCCATTTTTTAACTGGCTTGTTTGCCTTTTTGTTGTTTAGCTGTAGGAATTCTTTAAAATCTGGATATTAAACCCTCATTGGCTATATGGTTCCCAAAAATTTTCTCCCATTCCATAGGCTGTCTCTTCTCTTGATAAAAAGTCCTTGATGAGCAAAGTTTTTAATTGTTATGAAGCCCAATTTATCTCTCCTTTTGTTGTCTGTGACTGTGGCATCCTCTCCAAGAATCCACTCTCAAAAAACAAGGTCGTGAAGCTTTCTCCCTAATGTTTTCTTCTAGGAGTTTTATGGTTTTATCTTTTATACTTAGGTTATTGATCCATTTTGAGTTAACTTTTGTAAATGGTGTGAGGTATGGGTCCAACCTCTTTTTTTTTGCACATGGCTACACATGGGATTGCCATGAGTCAGAATCAACTAAACAGCAGCTAACAACAATCCAGTTGTCCCAGCACTATTTGTTGAAGACACTATTCTTTCCCCATTGAATGGACTTGTCACCCTTGTCAAAAACCAACTGGCCACAGATGTATCAAATAAATGCTTATTAAATGAACTTTTAACATTAAGTCTAAATGTAAATTTACAGTTCACAGTTGTTGGCTGTTAAACATATCCATTTTCTATTATGCCTCGATGCCCCCCTAAAAGCTAATAGAAATGTCACAAATATCACTTCAAGTGCCAACAAATCCCCAGATCCTCATCTTTCCTAAGGTTATCCCATCTCCCACCCTTGAAACAGAACCCTGAGCAGTAGTTACACCTACATGGAAAATGATCATATTTTCACTGAGAAATATGTAGTCCTTTTCCTTTCCAACGGCCCTGGTGGCACAGGAGTTAAGAGCTATGTCATGCTGTGGCTGCTAACCAAAAGGTCGGAAGTTCGAATCCACCAGCCACTCCCTGGAAACCCTATGGAGCAGTTCTACTCTGTCCTATAGGGTTGGTATAAGTTGGAATCCACTTGTTTTTTTTTTCCTTTCCAAGTTAAAATGGTTCAGTGATAATAAGTTTGTGGAAAAAAGGCTCTGTGTGGAGATAAGCACCAATAAGCACCTTTTTACTTCCTTGATTTTCTGAATATTAAATACATAGCTTAATTCTAGTATTCAGGAGTCTGTTTTACAAGGACAGACATCAAATTATTCTTATGCTACATACTGATAAGACATAGATAACATGCATCACATGCTATCTCACATCAAGTATGTACAAGTGATTTACAAAACACGTTTTAATTAAGGAAAAAAAAAAAAAAGACATCCAAGAAACCAAAGTAACTTAAAGGGCCACCCTTAGTAAACAACTATAAACATCCAAGCTCCCAAATTACAGGTTCTATTTTTAAAACCCATTTTACTGGGATCTACTAGCTTCTATCTTTGAAAACATGAAATTTCTAAAGTTTAGATAACCCTGCAAAAATCAGGTGCTTGCTTTTTCTTCCCACTGGGCAAGTGGACGATAAGAAAAAGAAGGGTAATACTGGTATGAGAAAATTTCTCACAGTCACCTCACCACCGATTGGATTCCCTGATTTTTGAAGCAATAACAAAGAAGTTAAAAGCATACGTTTTGTAGGCAATGTGACTCGGACTGGAATCTCTGCTCTAGCATTTACTCATTAGCTTTTACCTCATCTTTAAAACGGGTAATTCCGAGTTAGTCGAGTTACTGGGAGGGTTAAATTGGATGTTTGTAAAGCACTTAACACAATGCCTAGCATATCATTAAGAGTAACATGGGAGAGAGAAGCGAACTCTATAACAGAAGCCCCAAGGAGCCGAGTGCCTTACACCTCTAGATAAAGGCCTAGATAGGTGCCGCAAAGGGCCCTAAATTAGCAGTCAGGGGACAAACAAGCTAAACTTGGCAAGTCGTTTAACCTCTTCCATATTCCATTGTTTCATCCACAAAACTGGGATGGCCGAGAAATATATATGAATCTGCCCTTCTTGCGTCCCAGGCTTGTGGCGAGGAGGATCAAATGAGACAACCGGTGGTGAGCGCACCAGGCACTCGATCCTTGAGCACGTTAGGTCCGGGAAGCCCCTGGGGCCACACAACACGGGTAGGGAACTAGCCTCTTCTCCGGGACCTGGGCGGGGACCACCCTCACCAACATGGCTTGTTGGCTGTGACCATGTGAGCGTGGCTGGAGTGTAGGCCCCTAGATCCCCCAGCACCGGGCCGGGGACCACACCCTGCCGCGCACACATTCGCACCCCGGGCTCGCTCGGGAGGAGGAGGAGAAAAGGCGCCTACTCGAGGGCAGAAGAATCCTCACAAGACAGGATTTACCCAAGGGCGGCCCAGTCGGGAGACGTGAGAGGGTGGGGTGGGGGCGGGGGCGCGCTCGACGCAAGCCCGCGCCCAACCGGCCGGCGGGGTCTGGAGGGGACGCCCCGCGCCCAGGGACGCGCCTACGCTTCTCCGCGGAAGG